ATGCAAAGTAAAGCGAGGATCCAGAGACGGGTAACGGCAACGGCGATCCATTCCGGGCGTCGATCTGCAACAAAACATAAAATAATTATCACATAATTATTTTATAATTACTTACCTTTATTTGGTATGCGATGTAAAGCGAGGATCCAGGGATGAGAAGCAGCAACGGTGATCCAGCAGGGACATCAGTCTGAAATAAAATTCAACTAATTAGGATATAATAATTTATCCTTACTTACCTCTATCTGGTATGCGATGTAAAGCGAGGATCCAGGGACGAGAAGCAGCAACGGTGATCCATCAGGGACATCCTTCTGAAACAAATAAATCCTATTAGCGTCTTGCGAATAATCGGGGCGTTGATGCGAACACTTACCTTTTCGGTAGTCTAAGGTAAAACCGAGTGGCGACCGTTCGATAGGAATATTATCCGCCGGAATCGGGCTCAACACGTGCCGTCCGGTCACAACCTATTCACATTTAGTATTATTCGCATTGCACGATTTTGCGTTTTTTGTAACATTTGCATCAAGCCCTGATTAAAATTTAACATTATACTACTACAATATTCGTAATGCGGTGCGATTATTGTTTTATATATCAATACTTTTATATAACTTTTTACAACATTCCTTATTCGTCCTAAAAACCCTATTTTTTTCTACTTTTTTTGCCATGTAACATGCATGCTTTTCGAAAGTAAATGCTTATCTATAATTATGCCTAGATATTTAGTATCTTGCACTTCTGTGACTGTTTCGTTTTCTATTGTTGAGAATCTAACGCTCGAAAAGTGAAAGCGAGCGTTGGGAATATTCGAGAACGCTCGATTTGCTCCGAAACGCATTTATTTGCCTTTTCCCCGTTTTTTTGGTGTTTTCGCTCGCGCCCGGACCACAGGTGTACATCGCGTGATCGCTCGTACTGCGACCAATAATCTGGTTGCTCGACGATTTGAAGCCAATCAGCATTTCTCACGTCTCGAAATTCCTCGCGGAAAAGTTCGGAGCTCCGGCCGCGATCGCTTCGCTTGCTCCGGCCGGGAGCTCAGTGAGCCCTAGCAATTCGTACGCGACACGTGTATTTGTCGATAGCGAAAAACGGAGTCGAATCGTAGCGAAGCGTAAGTGGTGTAATAGCGAGTGCGATCATTCCACGCGAATCTGACATTGTAACTAGCTTTCAATAAAGTGACTCTTGTCTCGTTTTACACGAGCTACTGACTATTTTTTGTGCTCTCCTCGGCGCGGCGCGCGAAAACATCGAGCGGTCCACTAACATTTAATGGTCCTTCGAGCCGGATTGTGATAAATAAAAAACCGGCATAGACAGTTCGACCGCCTCAATAGTGATCGCGTTGTGCTCCGAGACAGACGGACCGTCGCGCCCGCTCGACTCGCTCGCAAACGGAGTTCGCCGTTCAAACCGTCGCACATCGGATGTGATCGGACAGATATTCCCGGTTCATCGGGTACTCCGCAATACGCGTTCTCCACTCCGTGGCTCACTTAGTACATTGAGCGCTCTGCACCCGCTCTCCTAAATATTGGTGCCCTGTGAAATTGTGAAGTGCTTCGGAGGCTCCTGTGCGATCTCCAGCAACCGTATCATCGCGATACGCATCCGCCGCCCGACCGGCGCCCTGTTTTGCGACGTGCTGTACGTCCCTGCTTCCCGCGAGTATCGCCCTGCTGCTCGCCGCGGAAACGCATAAGAGCGTCTTCGCTCTTCTTGTTCGGTCTTCTTAAAGATCGGTGCCCCTTGTGAAGAAAAAGTCCGGTGCTACCCGGCTTCGCTCTGCTCCGAAGGCTCCTGCGTGACCTCCAGCAAACGTATCGTGCTGAGATACGCTCACCGCTGCCCGACGGGCGCCCTGCTTTGCGACGTGCTATACGTCCCTGACTCCCGCGAGTATCGTCCTGCTTCTCGCCGCGGAGTCGTTTAAGAGCGCCTTCGCTCTTCGATCCGATTGACACACAGGTATCAGATCGTTGCCTACAAGATCCAAACATCTCGCTAACGTGTCTCTGGATCTCAAGGACCTACTCACCGGCCAAGGCATTACGATTGCCTCGCTCCAGCGGTCGCTGACCAACTTTAGAAAACTTGCCAAGGCTCAGGTCACCCTCCGTAAGACGAAGGGGAGACTGACGAATCTGGAGGCGCTCTGGGAGAAAGCTCAAGCCCTCCATGTCCAGATTCACCAGACGGCTACAGCGGAGGAGAAGAAGTCGACCCTCTACTTTCAACAAGATGAATTTCTTGCCGCCGAGGAAGCCTACTTCGACGCAGCGGACTACCTCCACGAGGTCATCGGTAAATTAAGTAACGACGCCCGGCCGCGCCGTACAGAGGTAACGAGTCATCTTATCGCGACGCGCACTTCGGCATGTCATTGCATCTGCCTCGTATTTTGCTTCCGACTTTTCGGGTGCTTTCCCGGAATGAGAAATTTTTCGGGAAATTTTTGAGTCCCTCGTCGACAAAAATGAATCCCTCACAAAAACTCAAAAATTACATAACTTGAAGGCGAGCTTCTCCGGCGAGGCTGCCGTGTTAATTAATAATATTCACACATTCTTTGACGCGAACTACGAGGCAGCGTGGCAACTTCTTCTCGACGAGTACGACAACCGTAACGCGATTATTCACGCGAACATCCATTCTTTCGCCGACTTACCGAAAATAAAAACCGAGAATGTTACCGAATTGAAAAAACTTCGCGATAGCGTGTCCGCGGCTCTCGCCGCTTTAACGAATCTCGAGCGTCCTGTCGATACGTGGGACGACCTCCTAGTTTACATTATATCGCAAAAGTTTAGTCCGCGAACGCGCAATGAATGGAATTTGAAGCGAGGCGATACGGATGCATACCCCACGTATAAGGAGATTCATGACTTCATGACTCTACGCATACGCGGTCTCACGGATTATCCGTCGCAATTCGACTCCGCGTCGAATAATACGCACGGAAACAAAGCTCGTACTTTGATTAATAATGTGTCGCAGTAGGAGGGTAACATATATATACTCCGAGCCTTAGGGATCTCGCTTGCGGTTAGCGGAATCGGGGGGGGGGCTTCGCTGCCGCGGGGGAAGCGCCGTAAGCGGTGGGCGAGGGGGTCGAGGGACGGTGTAAAGGGTCACCGGAGGAGGGCTATGCGGGGGGAAGAGATTATTGGGCGAAAGGGGGAGCGCGACGCGAGGGAAACATATGGGGTAAGGTTGGGTGTGGCAAGGCCGCCAACGGGGGCTCGGCGCGGGGCAGCGCCGCCAACGGGGGCTCGTTGCGGGGGACGCGGGCGTTTTTCGAGGGGGCGCTCGGAGCGGCGCTCGCGCCGTTACCGACCGTTTTGGAGAATCGCGCGACAATATTTTTTTGTTTTTTTCTTTGTCGTCGTCGCTCGCGCGCGTTTGGGCGCGTCCGAACTCGTTCGAACTCGTTCGAGGTCGCTCCTCTCGACGTTTCGGGGGGTGGGGGGGAGAACGACGCGTTCGAGGTGGTTCGTTTCGCGGGGGGTCTCGCGCGCCCGTCTTCGTCGTCGTCGTCGTCGTCGTTTTTTTTTTACTCTTGGTCCGAAGGTTGTTTCGATCCGCGTCGCGGACGACGCAATCGCCGCGACCGCGGGGGGTAAGCGCGGTCGCGCGGAGATGGGTATACGAATCTGGGAAAAGGGGGTGGGGGGGAGAACGACGCGTTCAAGGTGGTTTGTTTCGCGGGGGGTCTCGCGCGCCCGTCTTCGTCATCGTCGTCGTTTTTTTTTACTCTTGGTCCGAAGGTCGTTTCGATCCGCGTCGCGACGGGCAGGATGTGGTTTTCCTGCCCATCCCGACGTATCGAGATCGAGAGAGATGACTCGTCTCTTTGTTCGATCGATTCGTACGATTTGCGATAATTTTTTTAACGCGCGTTCGAACTCGATCGCGGTCGCTCTCGTCGTTTCCTCCTTTTGTTTTTTTTTTTTTGGAGGATGCGGCGAGCGGTTGTCGTCATTCCGGGTTTTTTCGGAGGATGCGGCGAGCGGTTGTCGTCATTCCGGGAAAGAGCGCGTCCGGCAGGGGGGTACGTCCTCCGTTGAGATGACAAACGGGGGGGTATAAATTGAACGGGCGCGCGAACGGCGCGGCAAACGGTTTCTTTTCTACGAGGATTCTAGAGCGCGGTCGAGAGTTAATATATTTGTAAAAAAAATACGGTATGGGAACGGACGGACGCTATTGCTCGTTGATGGTGCGTTTGCTTCGCGGCAGAGAAGTCGGATTTCGAAACGTACTCGCTGGCACTGACACGTGGTGTCCCAAGCATTCTAGATTGCTTATCAGTAGAACCGTACACACGTGGGAAACTTTGGACTCATACGTTAAAACATGTTGGTGTATGGTTCGCGGCAGCGTCCGTAACGTTTACGACAAAGGATCGACGCACGAGTTCTGTTTAGAGTGTGGAGGAAATTGTAAAATAGGTTTGTAGATACATATGATTACGCCGAAACATTAATGTGGCGGATTGAAGATGGAGATTTTTTATTTTGATATAGACGTCAGCGGTGCGAATGTAGCGTCGGCGATACGTACTCGCGAATGAACGATCGCCGTTATCCGTCGTCCGAGGAATCGGACGACGAATGGCGCTATCGCGAGCCCATGCCTAAGTTTTCGTCCGATTCGGACGACGAATCGGCGAGAATCGAAGCACCGTTGTCGTTGAGCGCGCGCACGTCGGTGGCGAAAGAGGACGCGCGATGGAATCTGGCTACCCATCATCTGCGAAGGGAAATCGGAGCGCGAACCGATCGCGAGCGAGAGTGGATAGAGACGACGGTGGCGAACTCCGTCAGGGCGAGGGATTATACGCGTCGCCTGCCGCTCGAGTATTATCTCTATTACGAAACGGTGTACGGAGGAGAGAGCAGGATACGTCGGATTCAAACCGCCCGGTCTCGTCGTCTTTTCGACCGAGTGAAATTCAACGTTCCCGAGGGTGAACCTTTCTGGACGCGATGCGGAAAGAGTGCGACGAGTTGCTCGCCGCGGAAGTCCGCAACGCGGACGGGTACCGCGCGTGGAGACGGCGATGCGACGAGTGTCTCCGACTCCTGCGGGAGCAGGAAGGCGGTAGCGGCGGCAGCAACGGCAGAGGTTTCTCGTGGATCGAGATCGACGCGGCGTTCCAACGTCGGGTGCTGACCGACGCCGTGACGAACTCGACGTACATCGAGCCCGCGCGATTTCTCGACAACGCGAAGGGCACTGTGCTCGAAAAGGTGCGGGATAATATGACCGAACACGGGTGTTTGAAGGTCAACGTCATATTCAACGGGGAATTCGTAGCAGACGTTAAGACCGACGTGAAGAGTATCGCTACGCGGAACGAACAGCTTCTCCCGGGGTCCGATCTGAGCGAGTGGTACAATAGACACGTGCGCGACGCAATTCTAACGCGGTTGGAAGAATTTCAGAAACGCGACAGCGAATGGGCGTTGTCGCGAATATTGAACCTAATCATGAACGTGAACAAGTGTAATCCCATGCGCGTGGGATGTTGGATGAAAATACCGCTGGGTATAAGACTTAAACAGGCGGTGATCAACGTGCGATCGGAGAACGACGCGTGTTTTGCGCGCGCGGTGATCGCAGCTCTGTATCCCGCCAAGCACAACGCGGAACGATGCGGCTCGTATCCCGATTACGCGACGGTGCTGAATCTCGACGGGATCGATTTTCCCACAGATCTGAAAAAGATCGGAAAATTCGAACGTCAGAACGACGTATCGATCAACGTGTTTACAACTCGGGAAGGAATTGAAAAGAAAGCTAAGTTCGGCCGGGGCGCCGACGACAACGCGATCGTGCCTTTGCGGTTGACCGACGATAAGAGGAACAGGCACGTAAATCTGCTGTATCTGCGCGATACGCTGCGCGGCGTCAACAGGGGCCATTTCGCCTGGATTAAGAATCTGTCGCGATTGGTGAATTCGCAATTGACCGCGAAACGGTGCGCGAAGCACGTTTGCGATCGGTAGGTAAAAGAAATAAAATAAAATGAAAAAAAACACGAAAAACAAGGAAAAGACGAGGCGTTATTTTTTTTTTACATACGCACAGTAATCGCTCGTATGTTATTTCGCAGATGTCTACACTATTTCTATACGCGCGATAAGTTGGCCGCCCACAGCGTCGACTGCGGCCGAATGAACGACTGCGCCGTCGTTCTCCCGAACGAGTGCGACAAGTGGCTGTCTTTCGACAATCACGACAGAAAGGAGCAACTTCCCTTCGTGGTGTACGCGGATCTGGAGTGTCTTCTCGAACGACGGGAGAGGGAAAACGTCGAAGGGGGGCCGAGAACGGAAAGATACGCTTATCAGCGTCACGTACCGTTTAGCCTGGGCTACTATCTGTGCTGCACCTACGACGATACCGCGTCCGCGTACAGATATCATCGCGGCGAGGATTGCGTTTCGTGGTTCGTGAACAAGCTTCGCGTTTTCGCGCATCGCGTTAAGAATAAATTTTCCATCAATATAGCGATGGTGGAACTTACGGAGGACGAGAAAAGCGAATTTCTGCTCGCGACTCATTGTCACGTGTGCGGAAAACCGTTTCAACCGGAGGACAAGCGTGTGCGGGATCACTGTCACCTAACCGGACGTTACAGAGGTCCGGCGCATTCTCGTTGCAATCTGAATTACAGAAACGTTTACGCGATTCCCGTGTTCTTTCACAATCTGTCGGGTTACGACGCGCACTTCGTCGTCGAGAAAATCGCGAACGATTTCGAGGACGGGGTCGATCTGCTGCCGCTCACGAAGGAAAACTACATATTCTCGAAGACCGTTAAGGAGACGCAGACGGACGGGAAATGGGATCGGTACGTGAAGCTTCGATTCGTGGACTCGTATAAATTTTTAGCGGCGAGTATCGAAACCCTGGCGTCCTATCTGAACAAGGACAAACTGAGAATCACGCGTTCGGCGTACGCGGATTTGAGCGCGGAGGATCTCGATCTGCTCACTCGCGAGGGAGTGTTTCCGTACGAGTACGTCGACGGCGCGGACAAACTGCGGGATACCGAGCTTCCGCCACGCGAGGCCTTTTACAGCTCCCTGACCGACGAGACCGCGAGCGAGACCGACGTGCTTTTTCTGGCGGATATATTTGAAAATTTTCGGGACGCGTGTTCGGCGAGTTACGGGCTCGATCCCGCGCATTACTACACGTTGCCGGGGTACACATGGGACGCCATGCTGAGGTACACCGGCGTGCGTTTCGAGCTGCTCACCGACATCGACATGGTGCTGTTCGTGGAACGCGGAATACGCGGCGGCCCCAGTCAATGTTCGCTCAGGTACGCGCGAGCCAACAACAGGCACGTACCGACGCACGACTCGTCCCAACCCACTACGTATCTCATGTATTACGACGTGAACAATCTGTACGGCTGGGCTATGAGCGAATCGTTGCCCTACGCGAATTTCCAGTGGCTCGACGACCCTGAGAATTTCGACGCGACGACCGTGCCGGCGGACAGCGACGTCGGTTATATTTTGGAGGTGGATCTCAAGTATCCGCGGGACCTGCACGACGCCCACGCGGATCTGCCGTTGTGCCCGACGCGCGACAAACCGCCCGGCAAGCGACAGGAGAAACTGCTCGCCACTCTCTACGACAAATCGCGCTACGTGACGCACTATCGAAACCTGCAGCAATATCTGCGACTAGGTATGCGTCTGACGCGCGTTCGTCGCGTTCTGCGATTTGCCCAGTTGCCGTGGCTTCGCGTTTACATCAAGCTGAACACCGCGCTTAGGACGCGCGCGAGCAACGAGTTCGAACGGAATTTGTACAAACTAATGAACAACGCCGTCTTCGGCAAGACTATGGAGAACGTGCGCGATCACGTGGACGTGCGTCTCGTGACGCGATGGGACGGGAGATACGGCGCGGAGGCGTTGATCGCTAAGCCGTACTTTCACAGCAGGAGCGTCTTCTCGGAGAATCTGGTGGCGATCGAGCTGCGAAGGCTCGAAGTAAAATTCAACAAGTCGATCTACGTGGGTATGTCTATTCTCGAGATATCCAAGACGCGTCTCTACGAGTTTCACTACGACTACATGGTGCCGCTCTATCGCGACCGTTGTCGAATTGCCTACACGGATACGGACAGTCTGATCTATTCGCTGGAGTGCGAAGACGCGTACGAGCGTATGAAACGCGACGTGCACAGGTTCGACACGAGCGATTACGCGGAGAACAACGCGCATGGTATGCCGCGCGTCAACAAGAAGGTGCCCGGTTTGATGAAGGACGAGAACAACGGCGCGATCATGACGGAGTTCGTGGGCCGCAGAGCGAAGATGTACACTTTGTAAGTACCTTGTAGGTACTCGGACGCGACGACACCAAGAGAATAAAGGGCGTCAAGAGAAACGTAGTCGCGAAGAGGATCACGTTCGAGGATTACGTGGCGTGCCTGCGGAACGCGCGCGAGCTGAAGACGCGCCAGTCGTGCATACGCTCGACGCTGCACGAGGTTAACACCGTGTCGGAGCAAAAACTAGCCTTCAGTCCGCACGACGACAAGCGATACGTGACGTCGAACGGCGAGGAGACGCTTCCGTGGGGACATTACAAAATACCGTTGTAAAAAAAGGGGGAAACAATATTGTACGCTTTAAAAATTGATTTATCGTAAAAATCAATAACACGTAAGAAACAAATCGACAAATGTGTAAACCTTTATTGACAATAAAATAAGCGTTGCGCGTTTTAACGAATGTCTAAGTATTTTTTTTTACAACACAGACGTTTTATCTATCCACGAATTGTGCGAACTGTCCATTCCCAGCCACTTCACGAACGCTCGATTGCCGCGCTTGCGCAGGACTTTTTCCACGAGATAGACGTCGGGATTGAAGACGCGCAGCAACTCGTGTTCGTAGAATCATCCGGCTATCGCTTCTCCGCGAACGTCTTTCAACAGATACGTAACGGGATTGGTCCTTTGTACTTTGGCTATGCGAAAGATCTCCAATTGGGAGTGTAGCCTTTTTCGAAGATCGTTTTGAATTTGCACACGCGCACCGAATCGCCGACTCGAAATTTCGCCGGCGCGGCTATCTTCGCGCGACCGTACACCGTGCGCAGCAGTTTTTCGGCGACGGTGGGCGTCACGTCCGCCGGACGCATTCGGATCATTCTGTGTCTGCGACGATTGTAATTCGACAAGAGGCGCGGCAGCGAGTCTATCCATCTGGAGAAGCCTTCACTGGCGCACAGTACAATTGCGCACGTTGCAATTGCACACAGTACTATTGGACGCATAACGTCGTGCACCGTTCGATTAGACACGTTTCAATTGCGCACAGTTCGTTTGGACACATTTTAATGGCGCACAGTTTAATTGGACACCGTTGCTTTTGGACACAACACATATTATTAACTTATTTAAATAAATAAACGTATGTTGCATTGGACACGGTTTTTGCGCACCGTACAATCGCGCACCGTACAATCGCGCACCGTTCAATCGCGCACCGTACAATCGCGCACCGTACAATCGCGCACCGTTCAATCGCGCACTGTTCAATCGCGCACCGTATGTACAATCGCGCACCGTACAATCGCGCACCGTATGTACAATTGCGCACCGTACAATCGCGCACCGTACAATCGCGCACCGTAACAATCGCGCACCGTAACAATCGCGCACCGTACAATCGCGCACCGTACAATCGCGCACCGTACAATTGCGCACCGTACAATCGCGCACCGTTTAATCGCGCACAGTTAGATCAAGCGTATCTTAAATATTCATACGCTATGACTGGATACATCTGAGAAACGGCAATGAAGTGTAAGGCAAAACTGGAGAATAATATAATGTAATTATTAATAATTATATTATATCGTTCCGTATAAGTTTGCCTTGCATACCACCGTTTTGACAGATTTACTAACCTCTCGTAATGTGTCAGCGTAATAATTTATTTTTATTTCAGAAACATGCTCCTTTGAGCTTTATTTCGAATGCAATGTCAGTAAGTATTGTGTATTTTTATATTTCGTAAAAATACAAGAATGCAGTTCAATAACATTCCTAGCAATATTCGAAGAAGTATTAGATTCCTTATTTTCAGTGATGAATCAGATTCTATATTTATGTTATAGATAACATATCACGATGTTTTGTGCAGCATCTTCATCAGTGCTGAGATGGAAGAAGTTTATTTACAATGCAAATTGCTGTTTCCGTGTCCTTCAGGTAAGTTGCTAATTAATAAACTATTCGTACGTATATACTGTAATACGTATACTCATGAGATTTGACATTTCTACTAAAGAGTTTTTCTGTATACGAATTTATAATATATAATACTATTTATTAACATTTTTAAACGCCTATTTCAGGTATAAGAGAACTGAGA